ATCCGTTGATAGCTCCACGGAAGATGACAAAGGTCAATCTTCTGCGCTTGCCATTGCAAAGGCAGTTCCCAAGGTGAAAGCAAAGAGTCTACCAAGAGCATCTACGCCTTCGCGTCCGACATCCACAGGTTCGAGGACGGGCAAGGCTCCCGAACGACGAGCCGAAGCGTCTGGTTTTCAGGCACCTCGGACTACGTCCAGGGCCAAGGACAAAGGAGTGAAGACCTTGGAAAAGAAGTCAAGACCATCATCTTCGAGAAGCTCTTCAGCACGATCGAGGACTTCGGCTACTCGTGGGCGTGACAAATCCATGACTTGGAATCGGATGGTTACCAATCAACCACGTGATGCTGACGATCTGGATATGACTCTGGACACTATTCCAGCACGTGGTGATGCGTCATCGGTGACCACGCCAGCCATAGCCGATGGTCCGAATGCCTATCAGGAACTGACGATTTCGCAACAGCTCGAAGCATCTAACCTTGCACAGCAGATGTACTATCGCAGTCAGATGCAAGAGTACGAAGGAGTCGTCCAGACCCTGATGGACAAGATCAAGGAGATGCAACAAGAAGATGAAGGATCTGGAATTCGCATTGAAGAATTGGAACGACAACGTGACCATGCATGCTTAGCCATGAGGCACATCAACAATGTCAATCAGGAGATGAAGCGAGACTATGAAACAGCTTTGTTTCGCATGGATGAACAGAACTCTGCTCAACAACGTCAAGCACATGCCGTTGCCGAGGAGTTAGCTCAACAGCTACACGTGTTCCGCACGGAGGCAGCCACTAACTTTGTGCAGTTGGAGGCAAGAGCGCAAGGCGATGGTGAGCTTATGGCACGTGAGTATGAGCGTCTGACTCATGAACTTCATGAACATGCCAGAGAGAACTTGGTCCTCCGGTCGAACACAGCAAGTTCGGAACAAGCCTTACAAGCAATGCAGGAACGATTCCACTTGGTCAAGAACCAGGAGTTGCGGGCCGTGAACGAGATCCAAGGGCTAGCTGGAAACAGCGCAGCCATTGATCAAGAACGATTTCGGCTTCGCGAACGTCTTGGCGAAGAGGAAGAGTACCGCAAAATGGCTGTGAAGAGGATGCAAGATGCAGAGGACCGACTTCATCAGAATGAAGATCATGCAAGGCGATCATTGCCTACCTTGCACGACGAGCTGAGTGAACTCAGGAAAACGCTCAAAGCACAAGAAGATCTTCAAGCGAGGACACGCAGCGAATTGGAGGCAGCGCGGAACTCCAACTATGGAGGAGCGACACGGCCTTCAAGCATGCCCATGTCTTCGAGGACTACTGAGTCTGGCTGGGAGCACGTAGGAAAGGAAGTAGTGCCTGCATTTTCCGTAGGAGGTGAGGTACGATCCCCTGAAATACGGTCCCCAAGTCAAGTTAGTCCAGTCGCCAAAGAGAAGTTCGCATTCTCGGAATCGGACAAGGACAAGAACCTTGTGATGGATGGAATTCCATTTACCGGTGGAAACTTCTTCACTGGCCGCAATTCAATGCCAATCGTGGCGGATGCAATGCCCGAGCACTACGTGCCAGGTATTAGCAGCCCAGCACTTGCGCGTTCCACGCCTAGTGCAGCCACTTTGTTCGGCATACCAAGCGGATTTCATGGGAAAAGTGATGCGGCAGCCGTGCGTGATCGACAGCTACGCGAACTCTTGGAGGATCGCGGGATGTTGGGATCGAAGTCCACAGCATCTGCCAGCTCCTCAAGACCTGTTGGTGTCGACGGTATCACCGCATCTACGAAGGGCAACGACCTCATCGGTCCCCCTATTGCCTATGACGATTCCATTCATGAAGCAAGGAGACGTCAGATCGAGAAAGAGGTCGCGGAACGGTACGAGGAGAAGATTGCCGATCTGCGAAGCGAAGTACTCAAGGCCCAGAAAGCCGAACAGCGTCTCAGAGCTGATCGTGATGAGTGGAGATTATTCGCTGAAACGATTCAGGAGGATAATGGAGACGATGACGGTGACGAAGCTGGCGACGAGAATGAAGATGGAGAGCATGAGGAAGGAACCGGCACGGGGTATGACCCTCCTGACCCGCCTGATGATGATGATGATAAGAAGAGAGCGGTGGAGGCAAACCTGAATCGGATCCTGGCTCTCATGCGCGTGATCCTGATGGAGACGCAGATCCTGAAGTCACTGAGGTGAGAATTTCCAGGAGGGAGGCCGATAAAGTGACCGTTCCTCCATGGCCTACTCTCACTCACCTCAACAACTGGCGATCCGTATGCACGGCGAATGTCTTAGGAGCATCAGCCGATCCAAATCATGAGGACTGGATGTTATGGCTGGCACCAGCATTCAACCCATTCCCTGATGTCGAAGCACTGAACGATTCAGGACACAAGAAGTTTAAGAGCGTAGACGTCAAATTGGGGATCGCAATGGTCGCAATGCTACGTGCTGGTGGTGACAAATCTGCTGACCTGTACCTGGAGGTGAACCGGAAGGCCAACGATTACATCAGCAGGCCCGAAGGGAAGATCATCAAAGGACGACAAATCATTGCGATGATGTATGAAAGTTTTCGAACGCATGATCGTCTCGACATGATCATCACTCTCGAGTATCTGGTGAAGCTCCAGTACCAAGGCGACAACAAGCTTCATACGTTCAAGCAGACGTGGTTGGAAGTTCTGGGACGGATGAGGCCAGAAGACATACCATCCAAAACAGCTCTCCGTGATTGCTTGTACAGCAAGATCAAGGACTCGCCCGCAATGAAGATGGAGTTGGGCATGCACTACGAACACTTGCCCTACAATCATGAAGACCGATCGTACGACAATCTGATGAAGATCATTGACCGTACCATCATGCGGAGACGAGAACAATCAAATCTCACTCAGACCCAAATTGGCTTGCGCCAGATGCTTGAGGGCAAGGATTTGCTTGCTGCACCGGCCAAGGTACCTGAGAAACCAACGCCTAACGCAGCTCCATCCGCAAAGGTCAAGGCTTCGCCGACCAAGCCGGATAAAGCAACACCTGTACTACCTCAAAGCAAAGCGAAGAGTCATGCGAAGACCAAGCCAAAACCCAAGAAGAAGACGAGGAGTGAGTCAGCGGACAACAGAGGCGACAAGAGCAAGAAGCAAATCCGCTGCAAGTTCCATTTCACAGATGCAGGGTGTCGAAATGGTGACAAGTGCCCATTCAGTCACTCGAAGAAGACTCCAGAGCGACCCTTTACGCCGAGGACGAGAACTCCAAGTCCATCTGGAGGAGGAGGAAACAGGATATGCTACTCGTTCAAGAACACAGGCTCGTGCTCAAGAGAGAATTGTCCTTTCAAGCATGAGGCAGCAGCTACCCCAGCTCCGGAACCAAAGGCAAAGGCTAAAGCCAAATCCGAAGCGAAGGCAGCTCCAGCGAAGCCGAATGCCAAGGCCAAGGCGCTCCCTGCGGCACCCGCCATAAGATTGTGCCGAAGGTGGAATCCATCAGCCCCGGCGATATGGAAGCGATCTTCAAGACAAGATGAGGAGGAGTCAGATTGTCCATCCGTTGACAGCGACGCTGATTCGGATTGTTCAACAGACGACGAATCCTCGGGACCGACGACGTCGACCCGAAAAGGGATCAAGCGTAATGTGACATTCGCCGATGACGTGAAGTTCATTTCTTCGTGTCCTAGGAGATCGAAGAAGGACAAAGAGCGGAAGGTAAAGTACGTCGACATGGAAGCGCTTGTCAACGATGAGGATCGCGCCGTGAATTTGGAATTCGCCAAGCACAAAGCGAGATTGAGGGCACAGATTATGAGAGACATGGTTGACGACGATGATGATCAATGCGGAGATCGAGTCTCATTCGTACGAATCCCAGGAACGTCTCGGGTGGAAGAAGTCTCCTTCTACGACGGTGAGGATTCCATCGTTGAGCGTGAACTCGATGCTGCACACAGCAAGCGGATCATCAATCAAGGTGTATGCAAATGCATGGTTCAACCAGTCATCCTCAAGAAGAAGATCAAGTTTCTCATGGACACTGGGTGTGGCCACGACCTCATATCTCAGAAGAAGATCGAGAAGCATAGTCTTGAGACACTCGTGACTCCAGAGCCCATATCATTTCAGACAGCAAATGGAATCACCGATACCGATCTCGTGTCGAATTTCCAGACTGAGTCGTTCGAGGAACCGATCAACGCTTATGTGTTGGACGACACACCATCGGTGCTTTCCATAGGCAAGAGATGTAT